GTGTGTGTGTGTGTGTGTGTGTGTGTGTGTGTGTGTGTGTGTGTGTGTGTGTGTGTGTGTGTGTTAATGCATTTTCCAGGCACATAGTTTAATTTCATAGCACAATCAACCAACTATGTTACCCTCAGTTGTCATGAAGATGCTGTATATATCAAAAATAAATTAGATTTTGAATCATAGTCTGAACGCCTTGAAATTGGCCTCTGTCTCTACCTAAAAATCTATCTGAAAATTAGCTGTAGTGAAGAAATATTCTCAAAAGAAAAACCAGATTTCAATTCGCTCACTTGGCTATTTTGACCTCCTACCATTTCAGACACTCCCACTTCAGCATGCATTCATAACAATGCTTCTGGGGGAGCGGRGCTCTGTGGGGCGGGAGCTCTTGAGGTATAGGGAGGAGCTCTGTACGAATAGGCGGAGCTTTGTACCAGCAAGTGGAGATTCGAGAATTTCTCAAACATATGAATGAGTCAAAGCAACACTCTGGGTATATTTTTTACGAGTAATAACGAATAAAGTTGTTTTTGCATAATACGCCCCCACCATCCCCTTTAAGGGTTTTACTCAGTTTGGGCTATAAAGGTTTATGGGCAAAGACTCGCTTCAAGTGGTGACACAAAACAAATTCTGGGAACTGCATTTCTCATGAAAACTGCAGGAGGTAAATTAGTGTAAATATAAGTGGTTCATAAAGGATTTTAAGGCATAAAAGGACTCATAAGAGGACTTCATCTTCATTAGAAGACAAAATATGAAAGGAGTGAAAAAATGTGCTCCATCATGTCAGTAAGTTCTTCTATGGAGTAAATCCTTTTCGTTACGTTTCAGACAATTTGTTAAAGAAAATGCTTTTTCTGGAAGTAAAAGGGATTTGAGTCGATCCCATTTTGAGAGGGGCCACATCAAAAACATTTTGAAAGCTTTTTCCTCCACTGAAAAAAGACCCAGAAAAGAAAATAGCTCTGTGTTTGTTGGAGTCATGAATTGAACCAGAAGGTAAAACAAAAGCTTGCTATTTCAGAGTAAGAGATTGCATTTATAGGTGTTTAAATGTATTGTTTTTGGTTGCTGCTGCCTGTTTCAACAACAAGTCAATTCAAAATGTCTTGTGTTCATTTGACTTATTTATTTCTAAGCTCTCGTCTTTACCACGAGTTTAAGAAATATTTTCTTTGAGCTGAAACTGTGTGGATACTTGTTGCATAAAGAAACGTCTTTGCCTGATTTGTTACCAGCGTGTTTCCACGGCCTCTTAGCGTGAAGTCATTGTCCTCCACATGTGATTTTACGATCTTCTGCTCATTAAAACCACAGGCCCGGATGTGGCTCAGCGTGTCTGACCCGGGGTCACATGCTCACAGCGAGGGGGCAGCAGAAAGCCCCTCATCTCATCAGGTGTTAAAGAATTTGGACATGCAACAATCTTAAATGTAAACAAAGCTGWCAGTAAAGATGATTTCTATATGAATATGAAGATTTTAAAAGTTGGTGTTGAAACAAACGCATCAATCAGATTCTATTTTTAACTTTTTTAAATCTCTGTAAACACGTGGATTACCACGCAGGACATTCTGGCGTTGCTGTAATAAACCAACTATAGACTTATACAGCACGTAGGCTTATTCAATCATTGACCGTGTCGGCACACAAACAGCTTTTTCTCAACTTGTTTACAGTTAATAAGTAAAAGACGAACCTCTCAGTTTTACATGATTGAGGATTTTTTTATGAACTGTCAACATCTGTTGTGTCTCCTATTGGGAGAGCTGGTAGCATAAAACACTGCAGAGTTTTTACTTTCAGTGACTGAAAATTTACTTTCCTCTTTTTACAAAATGTTAGTTTGTGAAATTAATCATAAATACTTTTTTTACATAGGGTTGATACTAAAGAAGCGAGTGCTCTTGTTTTGCAGCAATAGCATATTGTAAGGTGACTTAAAAACTTTGGAAACAAAGGAGGAAAACTTACAAATCTGTCAGTATTTTACAGTTCATTTATCATGACAAGCTTATATAGTGTTCATGACAGAATATTGTTTAAAAATATAATGTTTATGGTGGCATATTACATCCATATTTGTAATTATTGGTACACAGAGTTATTTTTTCTGATCTGACTGTTTTTATAGTAATGAAAACATTTTCTTTGTTATTAACTGTTTTGAAAGTTTTCAAGCTCTAAAAGTCAGATTTTAAGTCTTTAAATAAATCTGTGTTGAACATTTTAAGAGTTCAAATCTTTGTATGAACAAGTATCATCTTACCTGTTGTAGCTAACTTGTTTTAAGACTTTAATGAAAGAGTTTTTTTTTTTAACATGCTGGATCGACAAGTTAATCACTAATCTGAACTGAGACAAGACCAAAGTTTGAAATCAACTACAATCTAAAAAAAATCTGAATAGTTCAAGCTGTTATACAGAGTCAGTGATTATGGATAAAAACAAAAACAACTCAAGATAATAACTCATGGCCACAAGATGGTTACTGCAGTCATTTCCACTCAGAGACTGCAACAATGTCTGTATCTCTCTGCTCAAAATGATCTCATGGTTTTTAACTTGTGGCCACGCATTAACACCAGATGGGCTCCGTAGTTAAGTTGTTAAACTCTCGGCATAAATCATCTTCTTAACAATCCCAAAAATCAAACATACGAGTTTCACTAAATCTTTTTTTATTATTTGTATTCAACATTTCTGTGGATGTTAAATGCCAACACTGTAAAAAWGGTTAGTAGAGGTCTCTGCAGAACGTGTTGTCCTGTGTGCAGAGACGGCCCAAATCGTCATTGGCCAAGCTCTTAATGTGGGTGGAGACGTCCCTGCTCATGATTGACGGAGGTGTTGATGTGGGTGGAGATAGCCCAAGAGATGTGATTGGTTGGATTGACGGTAGGGTATGAGGCTGGAGGCAGCGGTGAGTAGCTTGGTCGAGTCGGGCAGGAAGTAACTTTTTTWAATTAATTTTAGTCATAACTTGAGAAAGGAAAGTGCTAGTTGCATACAATGTGAACGTTGTACATGCGAAAGGTTGTGTAACAATATGACTCGGTCAAAACATCCCTAACCAGTCTGTAAAAAAATATTGATTTTTAGTGATCTTTTTACAGGCTGGTTAGGGATGTTTTGACCAAGCCGTATTGTTACACATCCTTTCGCATGTACGACGTTCAAATTTCGTGCAGCTAGCACTTTCCTTTCTCAAGTTATGACTAAAATTTATTTTAAAAAACATGTTGCTTCCTGCCCGACTCGACCAAGCTACTCCCCGCTGCCTCCAGCCTCCTCAAACCCCACCGTCAATCCGACCAATCACATCTCGGGCCATCTCCGCCCACATCGTAACCTCCGCCAATCACATCTCGGGCCATCTCCGCCCACATCAAGACCTCCGCCAATCACGAGCAGGGCCGTCTCCGCCCACAGGACAAAACCTACTGCAGAGACCCCTTACTCGCCTCCTCAAACCCCACCATCAATCCGACCAATCACATCTCTTGGGCCATCTCCACCCACATCGAAACTTCTGCCAATCACGAGTAGGGCCGTCTCCGCCCACAGGACAAATCTAATTCAAGTACAATTAACACGTCTTAGAAGATTGATGATTACAAAATATGTTAWTTCTTTTTACCATCAACCAATCCTCTCTACATTTTATTGCAATGACATTAGATGACTTCAATGTATACAAAATTGTTTTGTTAGAAACACAATRACTTGAGCAGGAATAAAGACACAATGACAGTTTACCAAAAAATACAGCAGTGTGAGCTTACTTTGCTAGTGACAAAACATGAATTCAAGAAAAACAAGGCAGCAAATACATCCGAGATATCACCTGCTGCCATCGAATTATTCAGTAAAAACTGGCAATATTTCAAAAGCACCAAAATATCTCTTTTTTTTCCTCTTTTTAAAATATTTCTGCTGGTTGTTCTTAASAGCAAGAGTATAAGTGCATTTTACTGACCCATTTTCAAAAAGCAAGGTTTTCTTGTTTGTTAAATAAAACCTCTTTCCCCACGGTTGTGTTTCGTCTTTAAGACAACGTTTTAAAAGGCCGGTTAAGGTCCAAGGTTAGCAGCGTACGGGGGTCATAATAACCTGAAGAAACATCAGATTCTTCTCTACAAACTCTGGTGTTAGCTGTTGTAGCAATGCTCTGATCACATTCAGACATTCCCCTTTGACATCACTTCCTGTTACTTCTCATGCGAAAATCTCAACTTCTGTTCATCTTAGCTGTGTAAAGAATTGTTTTCAATATGTTATCAATGTTATCTTTACAAAAATGGTTTTACATTTACACTTACTTTTTGATGTCACAGACACTGTAAGACTATCTTGTTTCCTTTGTTCTTTTGGAGCATATTTCGTACAAGGCATCATTAAGAGCATTGTAATGTACAATCGGTAAGGCCTAAAATCGCTTTTAAGCAAAAAAACTGAATAAAAATTGAAATGGATGTCTTTTTTTTTTCCTCTCGYGTTAATCTACACTGTAGAGTCATCTGCCCTGCTTTCTGCTGCTGTGGATGTTTGGTTTGCATGAAGAACAGCAGCATGAACTGTGTAAAACAGAAGGTTGCTCATGTTGTTGTCATCTTTCCCAAAAAATTGTCCCTTTTGCAGAATATCAATAACTGATGTGTTGCAGCCAGCCAGGATCACGCTCACACCGATCTCTTTGTACTCCTTAACCAGCCCTTTAAACGTGGCCATGCCCGTTGAGTCTATAAAAGGAATAGCAGAACAGTCCAACACTATTGTGTGGAACTCCAGCTCTCTTTGAGCCAGCCCTATATAAATGTTACAGTTGTTTTTCTCCCCATTTGCTTTGGCTTGCTTTTTGGATTTGTCTTTGCCTTTCTTGTCTGCCTTGCTCCGGTTAGTCAGCTCCAGGAAAGGTTCCACACCAACAGCCTTGTAGAGCGATTTGAGGAAGGATTCCTTGTTGGCGTAGTACAGAGGAGCCTGAAAGCGGAAGATCTTAATTCGAGGCGGTGGCGTGAGGTTCTTGTACTCCTCCAGATCCTCGTAAAGATCAGTGTCACTGACCCGGCCAAGGAGAGAAACCTGAAGTCAAATGTTATACAATACAGGTTATATCAGATTTTCTGTCCTCTCATAAAAGGACTTCATTTTACATAGACATTCTTTATGACATTTGGTTTCTAACTAACCTTTGGATTCTGGGTTTTATAGATGATGCAGCTCATGGAAAAGATTATGCCGATGATCAAACCATGCTCCACACTGATCAGAGCTGTGGCTGCCATTGTAACAAGCCAAACAATGGCGTCGCTCCGGCTGTCCCGCCACTTCGCTGGAACATCCTTGAATTTCCTCAGCGCCCCCCGAAGGCTAACAATGATGATGCAAGCAAGGACACATTTCTGGAGTGAGGAGAACAAAGGGGCGAAGAAGAGGAGGACGAGGAGGACTACCAGGGCACTGATGAGACTCGATAACTGGGAGGCACAAGTTGTGGAGAGAAGGACACAATAGAGAAAACATCTTTTTATTTAAAGGTTTCTACTTAAAAAGAAGCTGGTTTCAGTGAAAAGTTTCTCATAAGAAACTATTTCAAAAACATTTGCCATCATGAACCAATTCATCATTGAAATCTAACTTGTAAAGCAAATACAAATTCTAGAAGACAGTTTTGATTAAGGATTTTTCTAAGTAAGGGGCCACAATATTTACAAAGGAGCCAAGCATTTGTTCAACATCCTTGCACACAAATCCCTGGTTTTGGTAAAGTGTGTACATTTAACCAGTCACACATTCAAATACTTGTAATGCTATTTTTAAAAAAAAAAGCATGTGAGAAAATGCAGCCATTGTTTGTCATTTGAAATACTACTGTAGGATTGTCCAAATCTTCTGAAGAAGAGAACTTTTGAGAGCTTGGTTCATGCTGGACATTCCTACTTGACTCAATAGCACCACTAGTGTTTGGACATGGAACTGCATCCACCGTCATCACTCTTGAGTAAAGGACAGATGATTGACAGGACAGGGGCACTTCAGGGGGCCAATCAGATTTCAGCTGGGGCCAATGCTCCTGTGGCCCCGCCCCTAGAACCACCCCTGGACATTTTAGCATCAGTGAGTTTGGTTGTTTTGACTGTATTGAAATTCACCTGGGTCTTGCATCCTGTTGAATCCTTCACCATGGTTTTTGCCAGTGCAGCGCTGGTGGTGAAACAGTGAAAGAAGGAAGGAATGACGTTACAGCAGCCGATGGCCAGCATCTCCTGGTTCGGACGAACCGTGTAGCCATTTTTCTTTGCAAACATCTCGGACAGCGACACCGTGAAGGCAAAACTGCAGTAACACAGGTTCAACATATGGGACAAGTTTATTACTGCTCACATAATAATATGAACACTCTTATGGCTGATGTGAATGTGAGTTTTGGCCAGTCACACTGATATAACTTAGCATAAAACCCAAACCAAAACAATCAAGTTGCACATGCCAGARTGTGTGTATTTTGGGAAGAAACTGCAATAAATTCTCCCAATTATGACCTCATCTCAACCTGCAGGTAATCCAGCTACTAAGCTGTGTCTGTATCCACCAGATAAGAGACAGCTCAACATCAAGCCAACAGGTTGTTAAATTAGTTGCACATTACCTAATGACCGCCAAAGGAATGGCGTCCAGAGCCACTCGTGGCATCAGACTGAAAGCAGGCACCTGAGGAGGAATAAACCCTGTGGGGATGTGACCAGAAACACTGGAGTGGTAGTTGGCATTAAACTCTCCAAAGTGACTGGCCAGTGTAGCTCCTGCCACCACAACCAGCTCTGTTGGTAGGGGGATCTTTAGGCGGTCCTTGTAGCGGTCCTGGATCTCTTTCGCCGCCACTGTAAAACACATGACATTATGCTAAACAGAAATATTATGCAACAATGAATAACATATCTGTAGAACAGAAGAAAGACAGACCCAATATGGTGATACAGATAGCACTAGTGATCAGGTCACACAGGTTGGTCTTGTGAATGTTGGAGAAGATGCCGATCCAGGTGGCGACCACTGTGCCGTAGCCCTGGTGGCGAGGGATCTTCAGACCCAGCAGGTATTTAGCCTGCACTGTCAGGATGGTGAAAGAGGCTCCGGTGGCAAAACCATCAAGCATGGGCCCCGATAGGTACACCGAGACAAATCCGAGCCGAAACACTGCCATCAAAATCTACAGAGGGTTATAAGATGTTGAAGAGGGACAGAAGGCACATAGATCAACAAAAAACTGAAAATAGGAGTGGATGACACAAGAAGAGTAGTTTAGCCCAGGGGTCTGCAACCTTTACAATCAAAGGAGCTATTTGTGCTCCTTGTCTAACTAAAAAAATGTGTCGGGAACCGCAAAACAAGCTACAACTGTGATTATCAACTGGTGGTCCATGGGCCTTTTCGAGGCCTTTTTGGGAACCTTTACTGTCAGTGGAGGTGACATCATAAAACTAAAAGAATATTGCTGTTATTATTATACTATTTATTATACTCATCAGGACAAATAAAATAACCATATTCAGGTYAACAAGAAAAATACCGTATATAATTTATACCAAATTTCATAAAAACTAGTACAACTTAATTGTTCAGCCATTTTTTTGTCCTAATTCTTCTTATTATGTAGTCTTCAAATTATTTAAAGGTGATTCTGATGGATTTGAGAAAGAGAGCATAGAAAGAAATTAGAAACTAAGTAAACAACAGGCTAGCATGAGCTAACATGTTTTACTTTTTGTATTAGTAGTATTTGTCACATATTTGCATASAAATTGATTTCTGTTGTGGGTATAAAAACAGACAAAAAAAATTCTGTTATTTTTGGTCTCATTTTTAAAGTGCCACTGCAGAGGGACCATAGAGCCACATGTGGCCCCAGAGCCGCAGGTTGCAGACCCCTGGTTTAGCTCAACAATATTACCGAAATATATATATTTTTGTTGGTTTTTCTTCAGAAAAAAAAAACAAACAATTTGATTGTTTACAACTCATCTAACTTTACTTATATAAACCATTGCTTGTGCTGAAATGCCTTTTTCAAACTTTAGTTAAACTTGAGGGTGATCAGGCCACACAAACTGACTAAAGTGGATCAAACTGACTTTTGAGTTGAGGGGCAGTAACCTTTGTATTTTCTGAGTTTACATGAAATCTAGAAGCATTTTACAGAATTAGAGCAGACATGAAGGTGAACAGTAGTGTCAGCTACAGACAATATGTGGAAAAGCATGAAAATAATTATGGTTGCATTTTCCACAGATGGACACATAATGAGGCAAAAGGGAGGAGTAACATTTACTTGATTTCACAGGTGTCAAATAAAGGACAAAAACATGGCCTGGTCTTATAAGAACAAGAAATAACACGACATGTTGACACCTCATGGCAAGGTGGAGGCAGGACGTGTCTTAAAATGACACGGCACAAAGCAGAACAAGCTTCTCCTCCAGGGTAACCAGTCTTCAGCCAAGCCACTGACACCACTACTGGAAGCAAAAACCAAATGTACTCATTTTAAAAGTTTCTAAAACTGAAAGTTACAGTCAGGCACTTGTGTTTCTATGCTGCCCTCTTTGTGCTCATTAGCTTTTCATTCACATTCTTGGTATAGCCCCGACATTTAATTTCAACAAATTATGGATCATCAACATCTTGCATTGGGCGTTTTACACTGGATTCCAGTTTTTTTGTCTGTTCTGTGATTCCGTCTGCATTTTCCGCATTGCAGAAATCATACGGCCCTACATATCCCAGTCCTATTTTTATTTATTTTTTTACACACCTGAGAATTTTTTCCACATACCCCCTGTAATATGCTCATGWACATGTACCCCTGGTTGGGAATCACTGCTTTACCTGATAGATACCAGCCAGAAATGTAACAGCAACAGCGACGCTGATGGCGTAACACTCCTTCCCACACCGCATCCCCCTCAGCTCCACAGTGGGCACAGGGTCTTCAGTGAGGTTGGTGTTCAAGGTATCGTTTAAAAGATCAAGACCAGATGGTGTGGGGTCCTCGTTGAGATCAAAACCAGCCAGGAACACTTCTCTGACCACCACCTAGAGAAAAAAGATCAATAGATTTTTATTCAAGAGCTCAGGGATTAAAAAAAGACTGAACTTCCACAGTGAAGGCATTCAACTTAAATGTGTTGGCTTTGTTTGACATTCCTCTTTGTTAGTGTTTTGCTTTTTTGAGTCATACCACCTATTTTTCATCAGCACACCTGTTGTCAATTTGTAATAACTTTCCGAGTACATTCTTTATAGCTTCCATGCCCTTGCTGTTTGCAAGTGTCTCACAGTGCATTGGTTTTGTTTTCAACCTGCAAATGGCCTCTTTTGTGTCTGTATTTAGGTCCTGCAACGACTCACCATCCACCAAATAGAGCAAAAACTGTATTTTTCTGTTCCCAAAGGCCACTGTTCAAACTCTTCTTATGGGAAAAACAACAATCAGTCAAACTCTTAGTTGTTTATACCTGCAATTTACTCTAATTATTGAACTTCCAATGAGGGATGGAAGATTTTATTTGTGTTTTCTTAATCAGCACAAAAGAGGCATTTAATGACAGCCTGACTGTAGACGTGAGCTCACCATCCAGCTACAACATGTTTTTAAATCCCTGCTAAAATAAAGGTTTGTTACCTGTCCGATCATGAGGCTCATGAGGCTGAAGATCCCCACAGACACATGTCTGGATGTCCCCATGAGGAAGTAGATAATGTTGGCGTAGAATGAGGTCAACAAGCCATAGATGGGCTGCACACCTGCCAGCAGGCAGTAGGCAATGGCCTGTGGTACCAAGATGATCCCTATAATCAGCCCAGACATGATATCACCCCAAATGTACTCTTTGAGCTTGTATTTTGGCAGCCAGCGCACCACGGGGAAGAATCCCGTCAGGGTGGATCGGACTCTCGGTCCCGAACACGTCATGCCCTGCCTCAGCTTGGATTTAAGGACCGAAACTGTTAACTTCCGCTGGTGAACCCGCCGCTCCAAGAGAGGCGGGGTTGCCAGCGGGGTTTCTGCCACCCCGGAGACCTCATCCATTGTCTTGTAGCGGAACAGCAAGYTGAGAAGAAGGTGATGAGGTGGTCAGCTGTTCTCCTGGGATGGAGACAGAGAAATTACAGAAATTACAAAAAAGCTTCTTGTGTGCTTTATGTTTAGATCAATAACAAAAGTTTTAAGTACATTGTATGCCTCACAAGTAATTTTAAATTTCACTAATTTCTTTTCTAGAAGTAAAAATGTGACTCCACTGTGAGATTACATTATTTTATTGGTGCGCAAATAGTCAACGACGAGATTTTGTGGTAATGTTTGAATGAACCTCGTCARGTAGCATCAAACCCAGTGGGAGGAGAAATCTCAGGATTGTCAAATATTCCATGCAAGACCGTAATTTAAATTTAAACTCATTGATATTGTAGAGCACATGTGTCAAACTCAAGGCCCATGAGCCAGATGTGGCCTGCGGGTGACTCCTGTCCGGCCCGCCGGGAGTGGGGGGGGGTACCCCCCCACTCCTCCAATTTTTTATTTTATTTACTCAGTATGAAAATAGTTTCTTAAATCATCTGTAAACTTTAAATTCATGATTAAATGCAACAAAATAAACAAATTTAAAAAGTGAAAGATAATAATAATAATAATTGTCCTGCCCCTGAGCTGTTGGCTTTAAGTAACTGAGCAAATTAGTTGGATAGCTCAGTATTAATGTCTCAAAATAAGCTGCTTTAGCATCAGCATTGACCATAAACTACATCTCCTATAATGCATGTTGATTAGATGTGAATTCCCTGTCAGAAAGTGGGAGAGTTCAGAATTCAAGATGGCAGCTACTCGCTAGAAACTCATCAGTGAGTAAACTCTATTAATTTTACTTTTAATAGAATTTCTGTATTATTTATTTCAGATTTAGTCAGTTGTACACTTACAGTAGTTCTGGTCAGTGTTTAAAAGAGGACATGCTAAAACGCTGTTTAACATGAAAAATCAAAGGCAACAACTGGCCCTTCGAGGGCCACCATAATGCTCACATGGCCCTCGGCGAAAATAAGTCTGACACCCCCGATGTAGAGTGTTAAAAAATCCAACTTAGCTTAACAGAGCTGCAGTTGTTTTAGTTTGTCATAATGGTCGGATATATTGGATTTATTTGGGATAAGCGAAGGCAAAGAARGCAAAAGCAACGAGAAAACTAAGAGAATAGCGATATTTGGCCAATAAACCAACACGAGTCCTGGCCATGGAGCAAGGCCTGGTTATGCTCAGGGGGAAAGGGGAACTCTGAAAATAGAAATTAATACAAACTTTTTGGCTTTTTTCACCGTTCTCCCTGCAGGTGCAAACTGAAATATTGCATTTAAACTGAAAGGTTGCCTACCTGTGCTGTAAAACTAAAGAAACCAAAATGACGGTAAACATAATGCATGAACAGAGGATGTTTTACATTCACAATTTTTTTAGTTAAATGTAAAAGTTTGATTTATAGCTTCTCAAATTGGTCTGAATATCTGTAGACATCAATAATAACTTATACCATGATTCAGCCGACTTTATCAAGCTGAAATGGCATTGCTCAATTGATCAGCAGATGTGTGACCYTACTCATGAATAAAGCTTTTCATCATCAGGAGGTTATGCTTTTCTTACAAGGTTACAGATTTCCAGTAGCATCTGTMTTCTAGGTGTCAGAAACCATAAAGCTCTTTATTTGACATGTAATCATCCTCTGCCATCACTACTCTGGTATGTTGCTGTGGTTTACACTTCCTGAGTCAGAGACAGCTTATTAACTGATGTGACATTAAATAAAAAAGGGATTGATTCGTTTACTTTCAGCTTGCGTAAAACCGTAAAAGTTTTACAGTTTGTTTTGTATTTTCTTCTTTTTGCTCTCACGCAACGTCTGAAAAGCATTTGTACTCTGGAGCTGAATAATTGTTCGCTTTTGAAGCCGACACAGAGGCCAGCCTGTGTTCAGGCGAGTCGTTTAAATCTCACCTGAGGRGACACAGGAGACAAAAAATACCCCCCTCCCCATTTTGTGAGGTTAACACAAAAGCTACCTTACTGCTGCGAAGGACTTCACGCTCAGCAGCAGATGAAAAATTGTCCCCATTAATTGCAGAACACGACCGAAGTCACACCGAGGCGCCTTTGGGACCCAACAAATAAAATTTACCAGTGTCAACCCTGACGAAATGCAAAAGCAACTGTCCGTTTCTAATCAATGTTCTCTATTTTTATAACATCTGGCATAAAAGCTTCGGATTGTTCCTCAGAAGATTAAAAAAAACAGATCAGAGGAAAGAGCCTYCCTTTCATTTGGAAATTATTTGTTGTGTGAAAAATCTATAAAGGTACAGCCACTCATCAAAATGAAAATAAAACGGTGACAGAGAGGTCTTGAATTCTCACAACAAAACAACAGCTTATATTTGATCGTTTTTCTTCTTTAATTATATTAAGCTAAATAATTAACATTCTGTCTGCATCACAGGAATATTAACCTTTGCCTGCAGCCGTATTATCACCTGTAACCAAAGGTGAAGTTGTGAAAATGTTGCTACTTGTATCTATTTATTGCATTAGCCCYACAGTTTTATAGATAATAAGCTATTCGGTGTGGGAGTCAAACCCAACTTATCCACAAATAAATTTGTCTGGTCCACACACTGCAAAGAYTGATGGACCATTGGTGGCCAAGATGTGGTTTTGCCATGAGGTGGTCAATACATAGACCAGCACAACATAAATCAAACCACTGGGATGGGTGTGGCATTGACAGATTTGGACCAAATAGACCTAATCCCAACTGGGTCAGRTGTGGCACACCATCTTAAAAACAGTGCCATCATTGCCACGCCTGGCCCACACCTGTCTGTCATGTGTGTACATTTTAAAGTGCTTGTGACATGCATATTCATGAAATACYAAAAGTCAAAGAAAATATATTTATATTGAAGAATCTTGACATAATACACATGATTTTACCATTTTTCACATAATTGGCCTATTTTCTTTTGAACTTGGCTCAGCTAAAGTGAAACAGGAAGTGACATGAAAGGTGAACTCTTTGAGAAAGAAAAATATCTGTTTTTTGTTTATTGAAACATTATTATTTGAACTCTGACCCTTTCTCACTTCTCTATGATAGTGAATCAAAATAATCCAAAGAAACATCAGATTATTCTCTACAGTCTGTGTTGTTAGCCATTTTAGCAATGGTCTGTTCACATGCAGACATTCCCCTTTGACATCACTTCAAAGAAACATCAGATTATTCTCTACAGTCTGTGTTGTTAGCCATTTTAGCAARGGTCTGTTCACATGCAGKCATTCCCCTTTGACATCACTTCCTGTTGCTTCACATGCAAATATCTCAGCAACTGTTCATCTCAGCGGCGTGAAWTTTTTTTTACAATATGTTGTCAAAGTTATCTTTCCAAAATTACATTAATATTTATTGCAAAAAATTTGATGTCGCAGACACTTTAAACTCTAACAAACCACACATCATGATATCTTATGAGACTGCAGATATCATTTATTGAGTTTGACCAAAACAGTTTCAGAATCAGAATCAGAATCAGATTTATTGGCCAAGTATGTTGACACACACAAGGAATTTTTTTCCGGCTGTTTGTGTCTCTCTAGTATTAACACTGTACAGATACTTTACATATACTGTGCACAATATTCATCTCTCCATCCTTTCTCAATAGAAGATTATCTTAGTTTGAAACGCTGGTATTACATGTATTTCTTCAAGAAATCCCAGGCCTTGAATTTGCCCTCGATTTTGGCCTTAACAGAGGAGTAATTAAGCTACTTGTTGCAGATGTGATAGCCAAAGCAATTTATAGCACAATTTTATTGACCAGCATGAGGAAACGTATCACGGGAAAGATTAAAATTGTTCACAGATAAGAAACACGATGACCCACTGACARAACTGCTGGCAGCTCGCAGGATGAAGTGAACTGAAGGACACATTGACGTCATCATGACAGAGAGGTCTCATAAATAAATCATTTTCGTGTACACCCATAACTGATGAATTTTTAGATCCAACCCAATTTAAGATGGTCACAGCCAGCTGATCTTAAAAAAAAAACATACAAAATGTCTCAACCTTAGTGACTTTTACAGATAAGATTTGGCATGGTAGTAGCTGACAGTCATGCAGAACATGTTTTAACTGTAACAGGTCACACAAGATATCCTAACATCACATGACACTGCAGAATGCTAATTTCATGGTTTCACCTCAGACAACTCTGGGATGAAAAATGATATGCATTTCTTCAACAAGTGCAAGGCTTTTCATTTTAGCAAGCTTTAAAAACAACAACAACAACAACAAAACAGCAGATTGTGTGTCTTGAAAACGTTAATGCAATTTGGGCTTCACTCAGCACTCAAAAAAGTTCAAAGTTTCACCTTATTCTAATGAATAAAACACATTTAAAGGCATTTTGTGGCAATTTTCTGCAAATGAATCTACAATGACTGATGATGTACTCACCTGCAYAATCACTGTTTCCTTCAAAACCCAGATGCTGGATTTAATTCAGGACTGCAGCCTGAATTTATATATATATTTTTAATAATTTCTCTCTCTTTCTGTTCTCAATGGTCACTCAAGGAGTCATGCTCAGTGCATGTGTCTGATCTCTCTGCTGAATATATGCAGTTTAGATAAGAGCAGCCCTTTGCTCAGGCTCACGCTGCTCCCTATTGGCCCAGCAGCCGAGAGAAGGCGTGGCCCTGCTGAGTTTATATGTATGTCTGTGGGGCGAGAGGTTAAATCAAGTCAATTTTTGACTACCAGATCATATTGTTTATCTTTCCTGATGAGTGTTTGAGCCGGCGCGGCAGCGGTGATTGCAGAAAGAAAATGGACACGGAGGTGCATGTGTCAACATGTGCTGTTTAAATACACGGAGTGGATTACATGGCAAACACAAGATAAGACATACCTGACAGGTCAGGTGAGAAATACCGCTGGGATCAACTAAACATTGGTGCTGCAGTAGCTGAGAGTCATCCCCAACAAATACATTGAGTGCTAACAGATCACAAGATTCTTCTTCAAGCGAGCGCGATAATACTTTTATTCGTTTTTTATATTTTTGAGCCAGTTGAATGTTCTGTTTTATAAAATGGTGACAATAAGCAAACATATTTGTAATGTTTCAGTTTATGCTATTATTATTACCAACAATGCAGCTGAGATAAAATATTTAAATACTGTTGAAGAGTGATGTTAAAGTGATTAAAAAGCAGCCACACAAGAGATTTGAAACAAAAAACAGAAGAAAACCACTTTAGTGGTCAAGTAATCAAGAACAAACACAAAAAAATAATATGAGCACAAAAAAACTTGATTTCCTAATGTATTTGTGTAATACGTAACATAAAATTCCACTGAATAAGTCTGAAGAAATAACATTTTTACATTTCTGATTAAATCTGAAGCTTTCTGGGGTCATTTGGTGACAGGTGACGCTGCTTCCAGCTCAGATCTGAGCATGTTCTGGTTAAACATTCAGAGCCGTGGTGCTTGTAGAGGATCTGTTGACTCAGAGCTGAGGACGCTGCAGCAGGTTGAACCATTAACTGACTGAAGGGAATCAAATCTGAATCCATTCTGAACAGCTCAGCAATACGAACGTAGAGTTTGGACGCCGTGAAATGAATGAAGAAGTGAGTAAAAGAAAATGTAATTTCATTTCCACCTAGTGGCAGAGGCAGTCTGCTACAAATTCTGGTCAACATGTTTAGGGTCAAGGAATAATTCAGTGAAAAATTAAAACAATTCTCTTCAACATTTGACTTTTAAGCTTTAAAGAACCTTATGTTCATCTGGAAACAAACTCAGTATCTAAAGGAAAAACTGATCTATGTCCACACAAGATATTCACTGATTGAGTTTAGGATTATTACTGATATTTAGAAAAATTGATTTGATTTGATTATTTACCTTTAATGATGTTGCAAAGCATGAAGGTGATGATTGAGCTAATAAATTGCATTTATATTATATTATATTATATTATAT